ATTGAAAATTCGTCTTCAAAAATGTCTGTGGTGGCCCCCCTTTCTTTGGTTCTCTAAACCGTAAATATATACTACTACGCCTAAACACGTGCTTATTTTGATTAATGGTTACTCCAGCCCTGGGTATGCGGTGTATCTTTGCGATAGTAATGTGACTGACTGAAGCAAATATTCTTAGTTAAATGGCTAGTGAGTATACTCAATCAAAACTGACCCATTGATCATGAAATATAACAAGCTGCTCGAAACGCTGCTGGTGTAACGAGTTCTTTGTTACAGAATATGGATATTGAGTAGGTTTGGCATTTCTCGATTGTAGCATTCGGGTTTTTTCTGAACTGATGAGTCTAAAAAGCTAAGCTAAAAATTAAAAAGTACACACATTTATATTTTATAATATCTGTGAATAAGCCGAAGCACTTATAGACTGAATAGCATTGGCATCTGTGGGATTTTGTCGGGGCGGTAAAAGGTACAAAACGCCTTTCGGCGGGTCTTGCCGTTGGTATCACCATAAAAAAACATAACCTACTGCCATAAAACCATTTAGATAAATTTTCAGAAATTCAAGCTTTGGTTTGGGTCATTGATAAACCCAACACTGGTTAGTGAACTCATTTAGTGTTACCATATTTTAGGTGACCTCAAAGTGCGACGGACCCAAAGATCATATCTGTGATTTTTTCAACTTTAAATTGACCGATTTTACATTACGGGGGTACATTTAAAACCATCACGGCTGTCTTCATTGACCATATTGTCACCGAGAGTTCATGCGCTGTCTGTCTAAATATCGGTTACAGTTCGAAAAATAGAAAGGAATTTAGTTAACGTTAAACACCTTTTGGGCGTACGGGGCTCCTTACACGTAACAACTTGTAGCAATTATCCGCCAATGGTAGCGGAATACAACGAAACAAACAAAACCACGCGTGCTGACTGGCTGTCGTGGCTGAACGCCAAAGCGGGACATTTAGCTGACCGGGTGGGACGCCGGGTCAAGACGTTGAATAGTGGGACTGTCCTGCCTAAAACGGGACTTATGGTGAGCCTACTGAATTCTTTTCCATGTTCTTGTTGTTATGGAAAAAAAACGCTTTTCTCTTCAATTACTGGACCAATTGCTTTGGAATTTTCAGTGTTTAAAGATTGTATTTTTCGCTAGAAGGCTATTATTTCGTTTATTTCAAAACTTCCTGGAGATTCTGTGGGATTTGTTTTTCTATCTGAAGTTTTTTGTTATGAAGTCAACAAAATTAAATAATGAAAATTATTTCTAGCGGTTCCGCGATCGCATATCAGCGTACTCTTGCTCAGCGAAATTTAGCGGATCTCAGCGGATCTCGCGCAGTCGTACTTAACGAAAGTGTGAATTTTTTTCTGGGGAACGGTAGACTGCGTTACAGGATCTGATAATGCAATAGTGAGTTGCTCGGATCATTTGGTATTTCAATTCACGTTGAAACTGAATCGTGAAGCATGGATCATCGTCATGGGACCTGGAAAAGCTAGGACAGTCCGGTACCGGTACTGTAATTTACCGTATATATATGATTTTCGGGAAATTGATGATAAAATATTTCGTTTTGGCCTTCATGTCCGTATGTTTGTGCATAGCGTTTGTCACGTATTGATACATTTAGTCGGTTCCAGATGAATTCTTTTTAATTTTTATCACATAATCGGTACGAATGTCCAGTAAACGAAAGTACGGGTTGATACTGTATTCGATGTTGGAGTGTGAGTAGCAGTGCCAGCAGAACGTGTCGTCACTACGAGATGGCGTCGAAGTCGTATGCTGATCTAGGAATGGCTGTGGGGACAAATGGCCAACAAAAATTAGGATTGTTTATTCCACAAATTCGTAATCTGAAGCTGTGGCCAGGCATCGACGGGGAGTGTGCGGCGGAATAATGAGATTCGCTGTGTCTGGTATTCAATTTTTTATTTCATTTTTCTTGGCTTGTTAGGGAATATTAAGATGACTAAATAAATTTGCGATTATGTCAATTTTTAAATTTAACCAATCCACAGAGCAAAACATATATATACTACAAAAACTCCTTGACAAAATTTTTTTTAAATTCGTTTCAAATAAATAGTGCCAATACGACCAGATCACTCATCAGTGACTAACCATATAGTGTAGCGAATGTGCATTGTGTAACTATGAATTATAATGTATTTAACCCTTTCATTTTAATAGTGTGTTTCATTTCACACAATAGGTCATTTTATTGTAGCAACACTGATTACTGATTACATGTACTGCCTTTCTCGTATCGATCAATTTGATGACGTATCGTTCCGGCTTGCCGAGAGGGCTGCACAATATTGTGTTTTGATTCACTTCTGTTTTACTGCGTTAAGTGTAATGTGTTTTGATTCACTTCTGTTTTACTGCGTTAGGTGTGATGTGTTTTGGTTCACTCCTGATTTACTGTGTTAAGAGTTAAGTGTGTTTCAATTTTATCTGTTTTCGGAATTTTGGATTGTGCATCTTCCTATAATATACAACAACCATTAGCATCAACACTGTGTGCTTATTATCGTCTGAAGGAATTCAGATTGGAGTCACATTCCATAACGCGTGTCAAAACAATAACGCGGGAATCGAACTTAAATATATAGGGTGATGAGTCTTTATCCCTAAGACCCATCTTTCATCTCTCTATCCCTATAATAGAACCAGCTGTCACAATAATGCTTGAATGGAATCAGTGGTGATTTTTTTCATCACTTCCAATAAGCTCACGCATCTTCTTTCATTTCACATTGCATTATTTTTTACAGGTGAACCCTGCTATAGATATCGAAAGTGTCGTTGATGAAACCGCGTTGAACAATTCATTAAATAGGAATAACATAATCTTTTTCCACGAAATAGTAAATTTATTCATGAGCTTTCGTTATATCATAGTCTAACTCAGTGGTTCCCAAACTTTTTGTACCATCGCTCCCCTACAAAAGTTTATACAACTTCATCGCCCCCCGGCACTGCAAAAAAAGGAAAGTCTGAAACGAATATATTACAGACCAAATAATGAGACAAATCATAGTTTATAGTGTTTTTCAATGAGATGGATGAGCTTGATGTTCTTCAGCGAGTTTTTTATTTTATCTAAAATTACCCCGTTTACTGATGAAAAGGCGATTTAGTTGTTTTGATAGGAATAGCAGCACGGCTAAAAACCCCCCTTTCACCATATCAGAGGTCGGAAATGAAAGAATCCAGAGTTCTACCTCCTCAAAAACCGCCATGTACTCTTGCATTTAACTCCTTAAATTCACCCCATTCCACATTAAAATATTGAAAACAAAATTAATTTTCCAAAACTTCTAATAATGACTTTCGTACCCTACAGCCTGATGACCTTCACCAAATTACATGATAGATACCGATCCTCGGTAAAATTCATTCCAGATTCCTCATCCTACCACGTCCTCCAGTCCGATCACCAGTCCATAGTATTAATCAGCCATTTGTTTTGGATTCGGATGGCCCAGGGGTCGGCAAATTTTACGTCGCTCGCGGGACAAAATTTAGGCTTGCTATTTTTTTTGCGGATTGCATAAATTTTTTCAAAGTTAAAAACGGAACATCGTGAGAAAACTGCGACAATTCGTGAACTCAACTCAGTCGTCTTATTAAAAAATTAATGACGATGACATGTCTTGTTGCTGCATCACGCTTGATAGCATCACGACGCCAAGATTGGAACATTTTCTAAATGGGCATCACTAATCCTAGTTTTTTGCTTGTTCTTTGTAATGTTCATTTTTGAAAATAATTGTTCGCACAGTTATGTACTTCCAAACATCAAAGTGAATATTTTCGCATGGTTTGTGAAATTTTGATAAAGATTTTATTTAAGAAGATACATTCGTAGAAAAATTAAGCAGTGATGAATCTTTCGAATAGAATATGAATTTTATTTCCTTATTGCATTGCAATACATTCGAATATTTACTGCGCTATTGAACCCCTGCACTCAGCATCAACTTTTCTGTGTGTTTCCATTTGTCTAATTATAATTAAATTGTAGGCTCGTTAAACGAGTAGCTGTTCAATATAAATTATAGGATATACTAAAATTTAGTCTAAACGTGTCTCCGATAAATTCTGTTACGTAAAAAATGCAATTTATTCCTAGAGCGTAGATAATAAATAAAATTAAATCTTTGTTAAAACCGCCGTTTGGATGTTTCCCCTGGCATAGACTTGTTTACTTCGTGACATTCCTCACTCAGACAGAGCGTGGTCGTTAACATGACCTCATTTTCACGATTTTGAATTATATTCGTTAGTTTTTAGTTGTTTTTCGGAAATTTAAATAAAATAAGGCAATGGACATCTTGTCCTCCTAGGAGTTTCAGTTTAATTACAGTAATCAAAAATTAGTGTAGAAATAGACTAGGCTAAAATTCTTTACCGGTACTTTTAAAATACAGATTGTTGAATGGTATGAATTAGAATGATAGTTTGAAACAAATACCGCAATTTATAGGCAACAACTCGCGAAACCACTCTTAAAATAAGCACCGAAAATTTTAGAATGGTGAAGTATGGGAATAATTTTCGGGGTCAAAGATCAAGGAAAGGTCCAATCAGTGAAGCGTCCCGGGCCAGATTACTATACAGATGTCCTGGCCACTGGGATACGCAAACTACCGTACTTTATTGCAAAGACGAGTCCAGCAAGCCTTTCGCCCCCTCCACTTTTTCGCCCCCTTCTGTAACCTTTTCGCCCACTTTGGGAATCACTGGTCTAACTTATTGAGATAAAACAACACATGGCTGTAAATAACAAGAGAGCTATGCTCAAATATATGGACACGTAGCACCCAATGGCAATAATTGTGATGACGTCATAGCGAAAAAAAAGTAATAGCCTTCTGGAGAAAAATTTTATCTCCAACCACTGAAAATTTCAAAGCAATTGGTCCAGTATTCGAAGAGAAAAGCGACTTTTTAAAAACGTGTCGAAGAACAAAAGCAACAACAACAACATAATATTGAAACGATCGTTATGTCCACTACGTGTCCAATAAAGATCAATAGTCAGAAATAATATACTAAGGAATATTAGAGATGGATGGGTCTCTATTGTGCTGCATAGAGAAATGATATTTAGTCGTTCCAGGTGTTTTTTGTGTGTCAGAATAAAGAAGAGCGACACATTGTGGTGTGTGCATATATTTGAGCATAGTTCTCTTGTTGGTTTATTTAATTGTTATTAATTTTTTTTATCATAATGTTTCGTCAAACATGGTGCTAGGGTTACGTCCAGATTTATATGAAAAGACTCTGTTGCAGAGCTGTCAACAATGCGCTGCAAAAGTCAGACATCAATGCAATTCCTTCTGATGATAAGTAAATTTTTTTCTAAGATGTTTTATGAGATGCCTCCAAATAATTATTGATAGATAAGACGACGTAGCATCATTTAAATCGTCGCCATGACACGGTAAGTAACAAGTTATAATAAATAAATAAAAAATGAAATATAATAGATTTTTTCAAGGACGAGTATAGAGTCCTCCGCTGATCACGAAATTTTCTCCAGTAACATAACTTGAATCATCAGAAGCCAAGTAGGCAGCAAGGCCAGCACATTCTTCAGGCTGTGCAAACCTTCCCATCGCAACTGCACTCATAAACTTGTCTCGGGCTTCTTTGTTACTCGCAGGTGCTTGCAAAAACGCTGTGTCAACAAGGCCAAGGGTAAGGCAGTTGATACGAATGTTACATTTTAAAAGATCTGGCATAAATGCACGTACCATTGCGTTTATACTCGCTTTTGTTATCGCGTACGCCCCGGCATAAGCATGTGTGATGTATGCTCCTACTGTGGAAGATAAAATAATGGAGCCTGGTGCCTTGCTTTTCGCCATGTGCGGGTATATTTCCTGAATCATTTGAAAATTCGATTTTATATGCACATCATATACTTTATCTAGCACGCTTTCCGGAGTTGACAAAATGTCGAATGGGTGAGGATTGACGCCCGCGTTTTGAACGAGGATGTTTATCTCTCCCCACTCTTCCAACGTCTTTTCGATCAAGTTTTTCCGATCACTTTTATTTGCAACATGTCCTTGAATTCCCATGACCTGTATTACAAAAATTGAAAGTTGCCTATCAGTAACTGCACCCAAATTGCTGAAAAGGTCGGCGGACAAGCGTGTCGCAATGAACTATACTCATACGTCATAAAAAATGGTTTTGAAGAATTAGAATGAAACAGCAAAATTTTGGATGCAATGTCGGATTCCATAACGAGCTCGGATAAAATTTGAAATATGAAAGTAATACGGTAACATTCTGGGTGGATTTATCTAATTTTTTTCTAAAATGAATTTGGGAACAATTGGTTCAATATTTGCGGAAAAGGCGATTTTTTTATAAACAACTACAACAATTTAACAAAACGACACATGTCGTGACAAATAACTAGTCCATTCCAGTTTTAGAGCAATGATCACAAATTTCATATAAACAATCATTTTCAAAATTGAAAGCAAAAATGCAATGTTCTGCCAAATGAAGAGTACGCTGATACAGGCCTGCAGCTCGTGAAGTAGTTTACATTAAAAATAAAAAAATTATGGACTTCATGTGAAACAAGTTTCCACAGATACACAGAGCAGAAACGTGGCGTTATTTCTTGAATTATTTACTATTTATCTTCTATTTTCCAGAGTTGAGAGGAACGTCAGATCGTAATTTAAAATTCCCAAAATCGTTTGGTCGAGATCGAAAACCTACTTCAGAGTAGAAATTTTGGCTAACTCTGGGCGGGAATCGGATCTTAAATCGAAGTCTAAAAGATGAAATTCTACAGTCTTGATAACAAGTTGTATTTCTAAAATATGCTGGATTTTATGACTTAAATGGTAGTAATGAACCCCATTGTCACAAGATTAGTATATATGAATTTTTGAAATCTCAATCATCTCTAACCTACCTCTAGACCGAGATCCTTCATTTCTTTTTCAGCCCTATCCACGTTTTTCTGCTTTCGACTGCTGACAACAACGCGGGCACCATTTATAGCGAGCCTTTTTGCAATTGCGAGACCTATTCCGTCCGTCCCTGCTGTTACTACTGCAACTCTTCCAACTAGGCTGCCGGGACTATCTCGAGAAAAATTTCGACGTGCACATACTTCCACACTTCGTAAAAAATTTGTCCGGCAAAACATTTTTCGAGATATAGTTAGCAGTGGTGTTGAAAAGAGTTTTTTTTTTCAGATTTTGGTGATCAAGCAAATCCCATACGACTAAAAAAATGTATTAGAAAGTATACCAACTGAAACAGGAGAGCTATGATCAAATATATGGACACGGAGATCAAAACGAAGTAGCATCGAATCTTTTACATTAGCCTACCGGTAGTCTGACCCCGACATCGCTAAAAGCAGTCACAAAACTACGGCGCAGTGCACATTTTTGGACACGTACATATGAATCATTTTGTTATTGACAACGAAATGGACATATTGAACGTTTTGTTGTTGTTGATCTCCTTGTTGGTATTTCTTTTCATCTTCATGTTGTGAAAAAATTGCTTTTCTCACAAACTACTGAACCAATTGCTTTGAAATTTTTAGTGGTTGAAGATTGTATTTTTCACTAGGCTATTACGTTCATTTATTTTCAGTAATTTCTGTGACCTCTATGGGATTCGATTTTTGGGTGCGATGACGTCATCAAAATTGAAGAATGTATTTTTTGCTAAGAGTCCATATCACATATATATTTTTCAAAACTCCCCGTAGGCTTCATGTGATTTGTTTTTCACTTCAAAATTTAGTGTGACGATCTCTTCAAAATTAAGAAAAATTATTTGTAGCGGTTCTGCGACCTCTCTCGTGCTCCGCGAAATAAGAACTTTTTCACCGTAGCGTACAGTAGACTAGGAAATAAGGCACTGTATATAGTAACGACTGCTCCGTTTTGGATTTCCTATTTATACTTGTATATATACTTTCTTGTATATAGGCTACCATATTTTTGAGCATCGCTCTCTTTTTTAATTTCGATAATGCCGTCACACACACAAAAGATCACAGAGCCCACAGAAATTTTTGAAATTAATGAAAGCAATGGCCTTCTAGCGAAAAAAAAAATTCAGCAACTAAAAATTTCAAAGCAAGCGGTCCAGTAGTGATTTTTTCATATCAATAAGAAAAAATACCCACAAGAATAACAACATAATAACAAAAACGATCCATACATATGTACATTTCGTGTCCGATAAAAACAATGCGCACATTCCATGTAACTTAGCACGATGATGACTACCATTTCACCGCGGATCCGAACCTGAAAAGTGTGATTACTGGTAAGTCTAGACATCAAAGGGCAACCAATCTTATCAAACGCTCACTTCAACGACGGAAGACAACGACAAATAATCATGTTATAAACTTCCTCGTTTCGGTAATCAAGCGGTTCCACTGCAGAAAAATAATAAATTAACAAATTTCTCGCTAGCGCGGACCGACTTTTGTTCGCGGCAAGGTTTCCTCTAAGGTGCGCAACTGCGCCAAACCTGCTCCACCAAACCAATTGCGCAGTAAAATCTCATTCTTGCGCACCTGTACCATCACGGTTTCAAAGCGTGGCTCGCCATACTTTCTAACGCCTTGCTAGTCTGCACGTTTCATGTTTCACAATTTCATGTTTCACAATTACGCTGTGTAACCAAAGCAACCCCGAAACCAAAAGCAACCCCGAATAAAGCTATATTATACGGAGTACAAGGTCGTTCGAAGATAGTTGTGTTTTACGTGTTGTATTTCCAGTAAATCCGTTGCTGTTTCTAGGAATTTCACTGCGATCATGACTAGAATGTTTGACAAGTAAACATTACCGACACATTGAGAGTAAGTTTTATCCATTCAATGTTTGATGTGTTTTTCACTTACATTATTTCATTTGATAAATATGTTTAATCAATTACTATTGCCAGACTACATTTCTTGATTTAGTTCATATTATCTATATACTTAGCAATGAATCCCAGACTAGTGTTACTCTCGATACAGGTGAATGTATTGAGACCTAAGTATCAAACAATTTAGTAGTTCATTGTATCCAGGCTTGACTTTATTTTATTACAGTGCTATTTATTATGCTTCGTACAAAAAAGAAGCAAATAAATGTACAAAATGGCTTTGTTACATCTATTCATTTGGTCCAAAGTTGAATAATATCTTATTTTAAAGAGTAAATTTTTCATTTAAAATATTTTTTTTCAAATCTATAAAAGTTTTATTAACGATAAAAATAGATTACTGACAAGTCCACAAAAGATCAAACCCAATGAAACTCGTTAACATATCGTCGAAAATCCCGGCGCACCTTACAATTCTGATTGGCAATTTGTGTAGGTCAATACGTTACTATTACTGTTTGATTTTTCCCAAATCAACGTTTTCTGCTAGACAGTGAATTCCATAAACCTTAATTATCAATAATTATGTTCATCAGTTTTGATAGCCCTATAGGCTTCATAATGTTTGTTGGTGGTCTTACATCCTGATTGATATATATAGAAATATAGATGAATGAATGTAGCCTACATTGAACACATTTAGTAAGCGTAAATATTGATCTACTGCATATAATTGTATGAAAACAATATTCTATATATTTGTAAGACAATAAATATGAGCTTTGGGTTAACTCCAACATCGCAGGAGAAATATTTGGGCCAATTATAAATAATTATTTATTGTTATTCAATTTATACGGTACTCCCGTAGTGTGTGTACCTCGTTGGGGTTAGGGCGTTAGACCATAATTTTATACATAATTTCTATTACAAGTTCGGGGACTGTCTGTGTTAGCCAAGTGAATATACTCCTGCCCACAGGTTTCAGTCCTTTTACACAACCTTATGTAAAGTAGGCGAACAAAATTAGCTATCTCAATATTGGTACACACACTTCTGGAACGCCATTCATACTTACTAATAATATTATTAAAGTTTTAGTAGTATGTTATTTTAAAGCAATCTAAACAGAGCTTAGATGATTCGTAAAACAGTTTACGGAGACGTGTGACGTAAATGATAATTTTGCTGAGGAGGGCAGAATAAGTTGTTTTGACCTAATTGATTTTTTTAATTTAGATGAAGTCAAACGTGATTAAGCCTTCTTTTCATAAATATTATTTGTACAACATGGGATTGTCACGCACCTACAACATAGTCCATCTCCAGGTGGCGCTCTCATAGCGTTTTCGACTTTCGAGATCGAATTCATTGGGCAGAAATAAAAGGTATAATTCTGTTAGCAGAGCCTTTCGAGTTAATACAGTACACACGTAAGGGAAAACATTCTAAAACAAAAGAAAATGTATTCAAAAAAACTTTTGGGCATTTAACAGGCTACTTTTTGCAGTATACCCAAGGATAATTATATATATAAGCTTCAATTGCCAATTCCACTTCATTCCTTATGTTGAAAGGTAGGAATCCCGTGCAACCCTAAGATAGTGAAATACCTATGATGAATGCACTGAAAATGAGTTCGGAAACCACTCATACTACATCTTAAGTCTGGCAAATAACTCTGCAGATTTCAAATATCATTGTAGATTGACTATTGCAAAAAGTACTCATTTAGGAAATTAGACTGACTGAATCAAAGATTCGGAATTCAAGTTATACTCAAAAGACAGTGACAAAAATTTCATTTCTCTTGTTACCAAACTTGCACTGACGACACATTGTGATGAATACTGTATATTGATAACAACAAATCATTGTCATGAAAAGCATCACAGAGAATAAAGTATTACGTAAAATAGGTAAGCGTCAAATATTCACACTTCTCAGTATTATCTATATATATCGTAAATCTGATTAATCTATGATTGGAAAAGTCTTTTTATAATACAGTTTATCAGCAATTTCATATTTAATCGAAGGACACTCTGTGGAAGCATATACAGTTGAATGACCCTAGTGTATTCGAGTGAATGGGTATAATATTCTTTTATGTGTTACAGGATTTATAATGCTCCACAGGCGCAAAAATTCCCAAGAGATTTTGTTGTGACGTGTTCTTCTATTTTCAATCTGACGAAAACAAGGAGCTGGCATCTTAGTCACGTGAGCTGCGTCGGCGCAATTTCTTTTTTCCATTTGTGCGTGGACTACCGGTACACTACGCAGAAAGTCAGAAGCAGTCCGTCGTGAAGTAGCCCCATCCACAGTTAGTGTACCCATAAAGCATTATCATGGAACAATTAGATCAAGCACAGATTGATGAATTTAAAACGGCGTTTGACATGTTCGATGAAGATGGTGGAGGCGATATCAGTGTAAAAGAACTAGGAAAAATCATGACGCTTCTGGGATGGAATCCGACAAGGAATGAGTTGGACGAAATTATTTCACCTTACGACAAAGAAGGTTAGTGCATGGGCGCAATGTATTTCGAGAATTTATTTTACACGTATTATGGTGTTCAACTCAGTTTGATCAGCCATATTGTTTAAAAGTGTATTATAAAATATTTTCACCCGTTATGGTACTTACTGCTAAGAAGATTTATTTAAATTGCACAAGGTGTTGTAAGAACCGGATTTATTTTTTATTTCAATTTGGTTCAAGATCTTGCTTTGCTTTTATCTGATATACCATTTCATAGGTTGTGGCAAACTCTTTATCGCCATTTCAGCAATATCAGTTGACGTATTGTATCGTTCGTTATATCCAAATGATTTAACTCGAAAATTTATGATATATTTTGTTAAATTTCAGTATGTTTTCAACTTTGTAAAATCAGATTCAGACGTTTATGTTCCATTTCAGTTTTATTTCGTTCAACATATTTGCGGCCAAATTTGCAAACTCATTGTCTGCAAGTAAGAGACTGAGAACAATTCATCATTTTATGAGCATAACTTTAATGAAAAATAAAGCAATTTAAAGCTATATTACCTTGCATCTGCCCTTTGAGTGTTATCATTATTTCTCCTCAAATATGACTGTATTTGACTTTTTTCATTTAATGACAGGTAAAGGCGCAATCAACTTTACTGAATTTCTCGCTCTAATGGTCCAATGGATGAAAGACGATAAAACGAAAAATACAGACGACGAACTCAAAGAAGCCTTTCGTGTGTTTGATAAGGTACTGCAATATTTTTTGACTTTTGACTTTAATTTATTGAATTCAAGTTTGAGGGGGTAAAATGTAACATAATATATGATTTGGCTTTCGACGTTAGGAATGCGTTTTTTTATGTTGGCTATATAATATTTAAAGGATGGCAGCGGATTCATTGAATGGGAAGAATTGAAATATGTAATGCAAGGAACAGGGGAACCATTGACGGACGAAGAAGTAACGGCAATGATGCAAGAGGCAGACAAAGATGGCGATGGAAAAATTGATTATGAAGGTCAGTCGTTGTGAATCAACTACATGATTCAATTTTATTTCGATTTTTTCATTTGAATATGATCAAAAAGTTGTGAAAGAAACAGATATTTATTAATTTGAATAATTGCTTTTGGTTTTTAAAATATTGGCACTGTGTAAAAAATCCATTTTATTATCTTCATGCGACAATGATTGATCCAAAATCTACGACAACATAAAGCGTTTAACATCAATTGGAGTATTTTAAAAATGGATGTTTTTCAAAGTTTTAATCACATTTTAGCAAAGACTATTTCACCTGGCGCTACTCGATTAAGACGACTTAACTACTCAAAGCTTTGACATCATGACCGTGGGTTCATTGATGCCACATGTTGTATTTACATCTAAGGTTACTACCGCGGTACGAATTTAATTGGCATAAAAATATGGCAACAGTAAAATATCACAATTTTTACAAAAATGGCGGATTGATACTTCACCATAATATGACTTCGATTACGCAAAGAAAAATAGAATTACCACAAAATTGTATTACGAGTACTGAAATACTATATCTTCCCCGAAAGGCCATAAATGCTAACATGCTCCTATTGCAGCTGTCATTCCATACCATTCAGATACCAATTCGTCTTACGATTGGGTGCCCAGGGGAGCCTTTCCGCGTTGTCCCTTTAAGTTTAAATCCAATATACCAAGTATAAACGATAGTTTATGTATCTACCAAGTACTTTATCCTTTCATTGAACATGCTTGGCCGTAATTAATTGTGTTCAAAGTTGCGCAAGAAGTTCTTTCTTGATTTGAAACGTGACGTCATCGGTTGGGTGAATATGTTTTAAATCCTATCTCATGATTAGGGCCTAGGCGATAAAAGATCATAATCGCTAACATCACATTGGTACTTGGTACATTGAATAACCTTGAACATTAAACGATGCCTACCATGTAGTTTCGCCTATTTTGAAATCCCAGCTAATGCCCAGCTTCAAATATAAATATATTCATCTCTCGATCTGACGCAAAAAAATTATGAGACATTTAAACCCATTTGAAATTAATCCATCAAATTTTCAACACTTGAATGCAAGAAAATGATTATATTATATGACCTAAACGAACTTATATATATGAATTACCTTCTTTAATGCGTTAATTTTTAAACAGTTTTTTAGTCAAATTCACCAATGAAGAGTCGTGCTTGCCTACAGTAGGTGCTAAACTGAAAATTTTACATAGGATTGAAATTGTGGAAGTTGGGTACAGGAAAAAATTGATTAGGATGTTTTTTTTTCGTTATAGTCACAGTCAAATTTGTTTGTTTATCCAATAAAAATTACATACGGAATTAAAAAAAAAAGCATACGCAATTTTACTGGTGAATGGGAGATGCTGGGAACCAAAAATATTTTCAAACAGCCACGCTCAAGGTTCTAGTATATAATTAAAATTTATAGGGTGAGGGAACTTTAGATATCAAAGTACTGTTATTATTTGTGAGTATGGCTTTAACAGTTAATAATAAAATTGCATGTGGTTTTCAAACTATAGTTATATTGTGTTGAATCATAATGATATAATTTTTTTTTGCCTCAGAATTCGTCGCTATGATGACAGGGGAATCACAGCAGTTGAATTATTGATCCGAGATCTAAAAAGTTTATCAGTTTTTATTTGGAATATTTTCTACAACCAACCACCAGTGTTTGGTGTGACAATGAATCTCATGTTTTGCCAAAATGTGATACCTTTTGCTGACGTGTCATGACTGTCCGTATATTTCTCTCTATATTGCATTTGTGATTTCAATTTTATTCCCTAATAGGCCTAGATAAACATTTCCGTCTGAAATATATTCGTATAAAGAAACTCCTCGTATGTGTATTAATAGCAGTACCCCAGATAAATATTAAGCGACAACGTATATACAAGATCAGATCAAGTCAAGTTTATATTTTCCAACCAGTAAAGAAAACTAAAAAAACATGGGTTCAAATCAGTGGTGGAATTCGAATTTTTTGTCAGCCGGTTCCCTCACAAAAGTTATATTTTTCAGCCGATTCTGTTACAAACAGAATATTGACAGTAACCAGTAATGCCAACCGGTTCGCTGATCTCATAAATTCCGTGAGACGGTTCTATAGAACCGTTGCGAACCGGCTGAATCCCACCACTGGTTCAAATGTACGTGGGTTCAAATGTACGGTCACCTGAGGTTGGGAAAGTCAAACAGGCGACAGGGGTAAATTGGCACGTAGTAAGGAAAGCCTGTAATCCGTTAACGTCTGGCCGAGTCTGAGATAGATAAATCAGTTTTTTTGGCTTCCATGGCATAGCCCAGGGCTACTCAACTGGCGGACGGCGGTCCGAATCCGGACCTTTCAAGTGTTCGATTCGGACCGTGTCTGATTTTATTTTGGAGGATTATCTCCATTTAACTTTGGATATGTAGAAAAATGTGAAATATTTTGCGGTTACTCAGTTTTCCACAACTCGCGTTTCCTCAACTTTTCAACCGAAAAGATACAGTCACTAAAATATAGTTAGGCGAGATATGAAATACATTTTCTGATCAGAGCGGACTGCAGGAATTTTCAAGTTTTTCAGCAAAAATAGTTGAGGAGTGCTGAATAGCCCACTGCCTACATGGTTTCTACATGACGTGTTGCAACAGTTCTAGCGTGTCCAACACATAGTGGAGCGTAAAAGCTACAGCACTTTTCAACATCTGCCATGTTAGGATTCTTCTGAATTGCTACAAAATGTAAATGACGCTGGACATCGACGTCCGTTTATTCGAAATGAGACAGTCGAAGTAGATATATATACAGTATAACAAAAAGGAAATGTGTTTGGGCAACACGATATATCAGGATTACTTAGTCTGCAGGAAAATGAAAATGAGTTTGCATTTTTTGTCAAGTTATATATATTATGGCATTTGACATATTTCCAAAATCGTTCTCAGATCTAGAGGCTATTCAATTCTCACTCCAGGTATCTCAGCGAACTCATTCTGGCTTTCGTGGGAAATATAGCTATTTGAAGCATATAGTGTTTTAGGTAATAATATATTTGGACTTATTGTTGGTTGTTTGTTGTCTTCCTATAAAGTTACCGGTACACGACGAATAGACCGGTAGAGCAATAACTGCACCAATGCCCAAAGTCTTTGTCAAACACTTCAACGAGACAATATGTGACACATACGATACCGTATGTCACGTCTTTATTATAAGCTCCCAACTTCAACGTTACAATTTCCCCAAACAGCGATATAATATACACTGTTAATATTGTTTACAGACAAATATTTTATCGTATTCGCCCATACTCAACATCATATATATATATAAACGTCGATAAAAATTACATATTATCGGGTATCGGTAATAACATTGGCGATCTAGAGTATCGGCATTTTTTCGGCGGCGCGGATTAATTTCCCCATGGACTTCAAATGGGAAAGTGTTGTTGAAAAAGTACAAAAAACTTCAACACATTACCTATCACTGATGAAAGGATTTGGACAAAACAAGATAAGTCTTCATTATAAAATCTATGGATCAACTGAAGAATCTCCACCCCAACTAAGACCATCTAACCCTACCAAATAATTAGTCCAGGTCAAACGAAAGATCAACTGGTATTCACCAGGTCAAATAAAGGATCAACTGGTATTATCGGCTTAGGGGAGGGGGATATTCTTCATTTGGGAATCGGAATCAACTGACGAATCTCCACCCCAACTAAGACCAAATGAAGAATTTCCCCCTGGGTGAGTCCAACTGAAGAATCTCCTCCCCATGGGGGGTCCTGGGGTAGATTCTTTAGGTGGTCCAGATCTATGGCAAAAGTGATATCGGTACATGTCTAGTAAGTACGAATATTTGTATTACCCTCCGTACTTTAACCAACATGCTACAATGGTATTGCCGTGTTTCAGCGAGAATAAAAGCTTCATTTTCCAATCTTGATATTGTCTGTAACGACAAGAAAAATAAAAAGGACAGCAATCTCAGCATCGATGACCTCTGCCATCTTGGTTATTGAAAAAGAAAACTATTTGCTTGAATAACACTCACACCCTTGAAATTTTATTCAAAGTAAATTCTTGTTCGTTTACAATTTTTTTTAATTTTAACTCAAGAGGTCGCGAATGATGTATAATTGGTATAGATTTCAAAACTCCTACTATAAGCATTGCTGGGCTCCTCGCAGTAGTAATCTGCTGTCTATGCGGGCACGACACCCCAATATCCAAGTTCTTGCGCTTGAATCGACAAACAAGCTAGCACTCACCTCACCCACCAATGGTGATTTTCACCATACGTCAACAGTAACACCAAACTAGGTTCGTGGTCCTCCATGTGATCCATTCACTATGTCGTCACAGTTATTCTCATTTGCTATGATGGTATCGAATTTAGATTTCCTTGTGAATTTCCGTAATCTTTCAGCAATAAGTCAGCAATGACGTAACAATTGCAATTTGCGCAGGCGCCCAGACAGATAGTTAGCGTGGTTGTGAACATTTGCCTCGTTTTGGTTGTTCTGCCTGTTATTTGTCAGTTTTCAGCTGGGTTTCCAGAAATTCGGTGTAAATGAAATAACTCAATTGTCATTTTGTCTTCCGGGGAGCTTTATTCTAGTTGTAATATTCAAAAATGAGACCCGAAAAAACTGCGATAGACTAGGCCGGAATTAGCCATAAGTACCTGCGAGCATTATGTAGTTAAATATTTTTAATAAAAATTGTGGATTTGAACATGTAAACCAGTTTGTAAGCGTCAACGCTTCAAAATATGCATTACAAATTTTGTAATAGTAAAGTATTGGGAAAATATTTCTGGGGTCAAAGGTCGGGGAAATATCCTTTGTTTGCGCTATGGAACCGCGGAGATGAAAAAAACAATGATATTTTTTCAACAATTCATGGTTTATATATATAAATTAAGTTTAAATATTGTTGTATACGGATAAAGATTGTTTATCTCGCTCTTTCCTATCGATTATGGATGTTTACCGATCGTTGAACCCCGGAATATTCTTTCCATACTTCACCATTGCATAAATTTTGGAGCTTATTTTGAGAGTGGTTTCGCGACTTGGCGCCTATTGTAGCGTACCGGCAGTCTATGTAATAATTATCCAAGTTCAGAATATCTTCCAATATGATATGCCATCAAGTTTCCTGTCAATATTCACTTCACTTTATGCTATTTTGTTCTTTTTATCTATTATCAATCCAAGCAACGATTAATACAACCAAACACTCCAATGAAACGGAAGCATACAATAAAGCGACAAGCACAAGGTAGCACAATGCAAGAAAACAGAATATGCACAATAAAAACATTTTGAACAGTACTGATGATAGCTAATTCCCTGACAACAACCAAAAATACAACACTAAAATAACTGCAATGGCACTGTACTGAAACAATAATATCACAAAACCACAAACAAACATCCCTGATAACCCACCGGACACTCTTGACCAGAATCCAACCGAAAACCAACCACACTGTACCAATCACATCACACCACAGCACGCGCTAACAGGAGATCAAAGGACAGATCGACAGTGTCACAGCGCCCTCAGTGTCGTCAATACCAAAATACCAAATATGGAAACAATATCACATGGCATCATTTAACAGATAAAACAAGGGTCGTCACATTATAAACCGGCGTATATGTTTCAAACTATCCAACAACCTGTTATTCAAAATTACCGATGAAGAAGTTTACCCTAGTCCATCACAGCTATTTCCATACTAATATTTAATAATAATTACTGCATTTAAACTAAAACTTTTAAAAGAGACGAAATGCTTACGGATTTATTCGATTCATGCTAATACTTTCGAAACACAACTAAAAACTAACAAATAACACGCGAAATTAAGATAATGTTTACAACCATACGGTACCTAAAAATCTGTCTGAGTGCCTGTGTTACAAAAGTGTCTGAGTGTATGCTGAAACGTCTTTTATTACGTCACTTATTGCATCTTGCTAATTGGTCAATGTTACGGAAGTGAACAAGGAAGACGGTGCTCGGGGAAACATTCATAAACATTCATTCATTTCAGTACGGTAGGATGAGATTTACATACCTATCTATGATATACTAACTTACTTCAGTACTCCTTAATTTGGTTAATAAGCGAACTGCAAAACCATTGAATACAAAATGCAGAAATGGTTCAAAAGTCAGAAAGTGCTTCGAATTTCAAATTTCATTGCAGTTTTTACAGTTTGAACAGTTCTTAATGAATGAATGGTGTATAAGTTATGTATATATTGAACTGCAAAATTATTAAATTCAGAATGCAGAAATGGTTGAAAAGTGCTTCGAATTTCAGAATTCAAAATTTCACTGCCGTTTTTCTGAAGCATGAACCGGATGATAGAGGAAGCCGTAACCGACCAGCGGTTACGTGAACCAACCAACGACGACGAGGAGTCCAGCAATCCTCTCGCACATAACATTTTCCGCATGTGATTCGAACCTGCGAACCCGCGCAGAGTGATCAGAGGTGTGGTGGCGAGCGTATTCCTAACGCTTAGCATGATGCGCCACATCGTCGAGCCGATTTTGTTTGACGTTCCAAATGTATATATGACGCCACACCGCTGCACCTGAAGGTGCTAACCGGTAGATGTCGCGTTGGAACAAACTAGTTGCCCATTTTAGCTTCAGAGGAATCGGTGGACTCGTCTGACTCGTACCAAAGTTACCCTAGCAGACATCTCTCAGCAGACATCTCTCTCGTTTTTGAACGCGCCGATCACTGTTGCCAGAACTCAGATTTCAATTGAGCGATGCGAGAGTTTACGAAAAAGGCATCGATGCAAAATCAGCT